GAAGGCCTCGCTGGAGCAGAGTCACAGGAGAATGCAGAGAACTGGCAGAACTTCTACTTCCTGAGTAAGAAAAGGAAGAATCTGATCAGGAACCCGTGTGGTGAAGGTGAGACAAGCGTAACAAGCCCCAAGATTTCAGAGATGACCAGTCACTGGGAACTGGGCATCTCCAGTCCGAAAAAAGATCTTAGTTGCTATCAGGTTGCAGCATTTCCTTCTTACCCAAGAGTCAGTCACTTAATGCATGCAGTCACATCGTTTAGTGGGCAAGGAGGCTTTTCATAATCAGCCTTTGCAAAGGGCTCTACTTGACATCAACTTCACATAAACCCCAGCAGGAACCCAAATCACATTTGACAGCCGAAGTGCCCTTTGCAGAACCCCTGTCCAACGCAGCAGTGATAGCGGCATCTGCGTTTCCAGTCTGCTTCTTGCCAAACCAGACAGGAAAGATGAAGCCTTTGCCCATTTGGGAGCTAGTTTGCCCTTGGCTGACCCAGCACTTCACGCTTCCTTCCTTGAAGCAGCTCAGGCGAATCTTGTGTGTGCCCTCCTTACTACAGCCCGTGTTACAGAGCTGTCCACGTACCCAAATCTTGTGTGTGCCCTCCTTACTACAGCCCGTGTTACAGAGCTGTCCACGTACCCAAATCTTGTGTGTGCCCTCCTTACTACAGCCCGTGTTACAGAGCTGTGCATGTACCCAAATCTTGTTTGTACCCTCCTTACTACAGCCCACATTAGAGCTGTGCACATACCCAAATCTGTGCCCTCCTTACTACAGCCCCTGTTACAGAGCTGTGCACATACCCAAATCTTGTGTGTACCCTCCTTACTACAGCCCACATTAGAGCTGTGCACATACCCAAATCTTGTGTGTGCCCTCCTTACTACAGCCCATGTTACAGAGCTGTGCACGTACCCCATTTGCCATTGTTCTGATAATCTACGAGCTCTGCCTGCCGGATCTACAAGATGCTTAGCAATAAGCAGCAGTGGCCAAGCCTCACAACCCAAGCAGCAACCGATACATTTCACACATCACAGACCAGAGCAGTATCAACACAGCTTCTCCGTTTTGTCTACAGATTATTTTCCTGCAAGCTTTTCCAACTTCCAGGTTCCCTCTGGCTAAGACCAGGAAAGCCCAATGTTTAAGGCCATACGGCTTCTAGAAACACTCAGAAATCAAGCAATCTGTGTTTCTCCCCAGGCTGTTCCTATATTACAACTCTGAACGTGCTGACACACAGTTCAGGATACTGCAGTGAACTTATTTAAGTACTTTCTGACATAAACTCACACATACAACACCATTTTGGTGGGGAACGTTAAAATCTGTTAACACAAAGTTCAGCCAGGCTAAAGGTTTTTGCCTGACCCCTATTTAACAACCATCTCCATCGTCTGCATGCAATATCAGTGCTGCATCTACCATCTAACCTTCCCCAGGCCAGGGGAGGGTTCCTGTGGGAGACGGTCAGGCTGCCCAGGCCCGCAGAAACCAAGGCTCATCTGCGTCTCTTCTCTGCCATTTGCAGAAGCCTTGCAGCACTGGGGAGAGGTAGAGAATGGAGGTGATGGCTGGAAAATTGAAGAGCTCCCTGGGGACTTTGGAAAAGAATTCCCTAGTGAAGAAGTCCGTAAATACTTTGTTACATCTTATGAGTAAGGCTGCTTTCTTCTCTTATTCAGGGAAGGGAACATTCTTGGTTCCCGCAGTCCTAGGGGAGGGTGTGATACAGTTAACCTCTCCTGTTTCAGGTGGTGTCGCAAGGCTCAGGTCATTGACCTTAGGGCTGAGGGCTACTGGGAAGAGCTGATGGACACAACCCAGCCTAAAGTCGTGGTGAAGGACTGGTAAGTAGCAAGGATGACTCAGAGGGCAGGCAGAGAGGCAAGAAAGAGAAGGGTGGACAGGGAGGACATGGATCTGCACTGGGTCTAAAACCTCAGCTGCCAGGATCCCCTAGATGTGGGACAGGGCTGGGTCTGGGCTTACAGTGCCACTGGCAGCTCCCAGAAGCTTCATACTGCTGGTGCTGGCCTCCAAAGATCAGGTTCCTGTTGTGAACCAGGGGAGGCGGTGGGTAGGAGTGAGAACCATTACGGGTTTCCACCTCAAACCAAGGCCCCAGTGCTGGATGAGATTGGTGCAAGATGTGTGCTTTGGCACTTTGCAGAGTTCCCACAGGTAAGGCGAGCTTGGATCTCCTTCCAGGTACGCAGGACGCAGTGACGCTGGCTGCCTCTACGAGCTCTGTGTGAAGCTGCTTTCCGAGAATGAGGATGTTCTGGCTGAGTACAAAAGCGAGACTATTGCCATCCCACAGGACAACGATGCCAACTGGACTGAGGTGAGTTATGGCTGTGGGCTCAGCTGGTGACAAGCAACCTGCATGAATCGGGAGTATTTTCAAGCAGAGGGAAGTGGGAGAATTCTCCTGGAGAAAGAAGGCTCTGTTGTGTTCTGTGGGGTCATGACCCTGTGATGGAACAAAGGGATGATACTGGAAGGCTACCTTACATAAAACTTGGAAACTTGCTGAGCCACCACTGCAGGTGTGAGATGAAGGAGATGCCCAGCTGGGAGAGGTTCAATGGCCTCTGAATGACAGTGGGATCAAAGCTCCTCCCAGTAACTCCCAGTAACTGTAAATGTGCTCACTGCTACCCAGCCTGGCAGGTATGGGTCAGGCAGGTGGGGTTGGAGGCTCTGCGCACTGACGGGCAGGTTCGTGGTGGTTTGACACTTGCCAACAACCATTTTGTCTCTCGTCCCAAAGATCTCCCACACCTTTTCCAACTATGGGCCTGGGGTCCGCTTTGTGCGCTTTGAACACGGTGGCCAGGACACGCTGTTCTGGAAGGGCTGGTATGGTGTGCGTGTTACCAACAGCAGC